GGAAGGAAGAGGAAGGAAGGAAGGAAGGAAGGAAGGAAGGAAGGAAGGAAGGAAGGAAGGAAGGAAGGAAGGAAGAAACTTAATACTGTTTCTTATTTTATTTCCAAGATAATAATAATCTTTTCTTGCAATATTCTTTGCATGACAGATTCTAATCTTCTGTGAGTAAATAATTAACATTAGAAATTATAATGCAAAAATTTAAACTTTAAGAACAGAACTGGACTCCATAAGCCAATATTAATATCTTGTGACGTTTTAAATACAGAGGAGAAATCAATTAATACCAGAAACCTGAAGTTAAAAATATTGAAGACTTGGGGCTAGAGGGGTGGCTCAGTGGTTAAGAGCACTTGTTCCTCTTAAAGAGACCCCGGGTTCAGTTCCCAGCACCCACATGGCAGCTAACAACTATCCATAGCTCCAGTTCCAGGAACTCCAACACCCTCTTCTGGTCTCCTTGGGCATTGCACAACATGGGTATACTTACATACACACAGGCAAAACAGTCATACACATAAAATTAAAATAAATCAAAATATTCAAGGCTGTATAGTATGCATGTATATGTGTATATAGATGTATGAACTTGGCTCTCATTATGTTTTATTCAGCTATATGTAAAGATATGTGTGTGATTACACCTAATGAATGTAGTAATTTTCATCTCAAAGTGATATAAGCAGAATGGCCAGTCAGTATAGAAGATATGACTTTAACTCAGGGTCTCATCTGGTTATTTATCTTACTAGCAATAAGCCCAGTTCATCATTTCATCTTTATGTGCATGTAGGTCATCACATGCCGGGTAGCTATTGCCTGGACAGCAAATGCCCCACTCTCCATTGAAGAGGTTGATGTTGATCCACCAAAGGCTGGTGAGGTTCGAATTAAGGTAAATATAAATGATACTTTTAAAAGGTGTGGTGCATATATGGTTGTTTACAATGGTTTTATAATTTAGGAAAGGAATGGTATTTCATATTTAAAAGTAGTTTTGACTATCTATGATTTATAACAGATTGATGTTAATGTGCATAATAGCAAGATCACTGTATTTTGTTAAATTTGTCACAAACATAAGATAAATATTGAACTGTCAGTAATATTTTAAGTACACTATTATTTTTTAAATTTGAAAGCAATGTAGGGAGATGGTACAATAGGTAAAGTACTTGCTATATAAGTGTGAAACTGAGTTCAGATCCCCAAAGTCCTCATAGAAGCCAGGCACAACCCCCATTTATAACTAGGGGTTGGAGACAGGAGAATTCCCCCAGAACTTGCTGGCCACCCAATGTAGCCAAAAGACCAAGCTTCCATTTCAGTGAAAGACTTTTTCTCAAAAAAAAAATGAAAATGAGGAAAGATAACTGGACTTCAGTCTCTATACATACACACACAAACACACACACACATACACACACACATGCTCACACACGTGCTCACACCCCTACACACATGCACACACATGCATACACCACACACACACACACACACACAATTTTAAAAGTTGAAAATCAACATAGAAAAATATTGATTCAGAAATCTTCCTTTCACAATTACAGCGTTATTCTGATAACGTGGTCATTTGATTGATATAGTTTGTGTCCTCCAAAACTCATGTTGAAGTTTAATTGCCAATGTAGGGGTTTGCAGGGCAATTGCCTCTGAGAAGTAAGGAGCCTTTGCCCTCATAAATGGATTAAGGCTGTTAGTGTAGGAAGAGGTTATTAATCATGGAACTGGGCTCCCAATAAAAGCATAAAATCTGCACCCAGCCAGCTCTCTGTATCACACATATCCACCTGATATTTCCTGCACTATAACAACATGGAGACCCTTGCTGGATAACAGATACCAGGCTCTTAGACTTGGTAGCTCCCACAGCTGTGAGCCAAATAAACTTCTATGGTTTTAAAATTACACCATTGATGGTATTTTGTTATAGCAGTAGAAAATAGACTAAGATAATAATAGACACTCTGCTCCAGAGGCCTCCATGACTAAGAGACCTGAGCTCCCTCTCTCACAAAGGTTCATAGAGGGACTCTCCTCTCCAGGTATGGCAGATCTATAATACGAAGGTTAAATCAGCCACCTTCCTCTCCCATTCTGGTTAACGGGAATAGTTCACACCAGACAGGGCAAAATAAGAATTTTGGTCAAGCTGCTGTAACAGAATACCAAAGACTATGAGGTTTAAACAAGAATTATTTTCTTACAATTCCAAAGTCTGAAAGTCTCCCAAATGAGGGTCCCAGTATGGTTGGATTCTAGTGAAAGTTCTCTTCCTGGCTTACTGATAGATGGTCATCTTCTAGTCCTGACTTCATGGCTTCATCAGACATTAACTACCTCCCAAAATACTCACTTCCAAATGCCACTAAATTAGGGGCTGGTTAGGGCCTCAGTATGTAAATTGAGGGGCTCACAGCAAAACCTCAAGCTATCATTCCCCTACTTATAGGGAAGAGGTGTCGCTTTAGGAGAACAAGTTACTGTCTTCACCCCCAGCTCTAGTGCGGCAATGTAGATCTAGACACGGAAAGAGGGAGGAAAAGAAGACTCCACATTCTATAGCGTGGTTAAGGAAAAGAGTGTGAAGGACTCATACTGAAGAAACTATGAAAACCAAAGAACCGTTTTAGTCTGTTTTCTGCTGATTTAACAGAATTTGTGGAGCTATGTACTTTAAGGTTATGTAGCTCACAGTTTCAGAAGCCCGAGAGTTGGGGATGGTACCTAACCAGCTTCTAGTGATATACTCATGCTGCCTTACAAAATGGCAGAGAGGTGGAATGATTCATCCTCTTGATAAGTATTCTAATTTTGCTAGACCTAACTTATTCCTGGGAGACTCAATCCAGCCTCTCATTTTAGGGATTTATTTTATTATATTTGTGTGTGTGTGTGTGTGTATGTGTATGTGTGTATGTATGTGTGTATGTGTGTGTGCACACAGGCATGTGCCTTGGAGCATGTGTTGTGTGTGTTTGTGTGTGTCCACAGAGACCAGAAGAGGGCGTCAGATCCCCTGGAGCTGGATTTACAGGTGTTTGTGAGCCACTCAACATGCATGCTGGGAACTGAATTCAGGTCCTCTGCACAAACATCAAGTACTCTTAATCTCTGAGTCATCTCTCCAGCCCTCAATCCATTCTCTTGAGAAAGACATTAAGCCATTCATGAAGGTGGTGCACTCATAACCTAATTACTTCCTCTGCCCTGTCTGTTAGAGGTATCACCAGCTCTTAAAATTGTTGTTTGAGGACCAAGATCCAGCGTTTGAACTGTACCCAAACGACACCAGAGATTTTGATGATCAGCAATTAAAAGAAGACAGAAAGCTCCTTGAACTTAGTAGCAGTAAGCTGAACACAACCAGACAGAAATACAATTAAAAGATCTGTTGAGATCACTTGCATATCTGGAAGTCTGGAGCTATGTGCTGGCTATGCTGATTTCCCTCAGGACCAACAAGAGTGGTCACTTGAGGGCTTCCAGTTACTAGCTGAGCACGGGAAAGAAGCATGACTCAGGATGCACACTGATCTATCAGCAAAGCATGGTGGCTTACTGGCTCCAGGGGCTAGAATCCAACCTCAGAAAGTGCTGTTCACACATTGAGCTGTGCTGACCCAGGAAGCCAGGCTTCAAAATAAAAATGAGTTTGGGGGAGACTGGAAAAAATAATCATGGCATTAGGTAATAGCTCATTGGTGGGGAGGAGAGGAGAGGGTACATTTCAAAGACTTAGTCTAGGGAAGCCACCAAACAAACTAATTTTTAAAAGGCAATGTCAATGAGCCCTGGATGAGGGGAACTAGAAGGGGAAACTAATCATAATCCACAGATATCATTATATTATTTTAAATATTCCATTTTCAAGCCAGTGAGATGGCTCAGAAGGTAAAAATGCTTACTGTACAAACCAGACAAACCTGAGTTTGATCCCCACCAACCAGAATGGAAGGAGAGAAACAACTCTCGGGCCTCCACATGCATGCCTGCACATGCACGCCCACCCACACACATGAGCATGTGCACATTATACACACAAATATAATAACAATTTTTTAATATTCAGTTTCCAACAGCAAATTAGAAGGTGTATGAGGAAATAGGTTATGTGGTGATTACATTGGAAAGAGAACACATGTAACTGAAATTGCTTTGGAAGGGTTCCAAAAGTTGGTCTTGGCAAAGATTTCAAATCAGTTATTATAAATATGTTCAAAGAACTAAATAAAACCAAGTTAGGGGCTGGAGAAATGACTTAGCAATTAAGAGTGCTTGCTGCTCTTGCAGAGGACCTGAGTCTAGTTTCCAGCTCCAATGGCAGTTCACAACCACCTATAATTCCAGCTCCAGGGAATCTGAAACCCTCTTCTGGCTTCTGTGGGCACTATACGCACGTGAACATTACCCCACATAGACACACACAGATACACATAAAATTTTTTAAATCTTTTTAAAAGAACACACTGAAATTATTAAATGCATGATGACAATAATTCATAAAAATGAAATGCTAGTAAAGAGAAATCATTGTGTATGCATGTATGTGTGCATTTGGGGGTCACAGATGTGTGCAAGTGCATATGCAAGCGTATGTGCGTGTGTGTGTGTGTGTGTGTGTGTGTGTGTGTGTGCGCGCGCGCATTCATGTGTAAGCCAGAGGAAAACCTTGGGCATCATTGCTCAAATACCATCTACCTTTCTTTATTTTTTGCCACAGGGCCTCTCACTGGCCTGGAGTTCACCAAGTAGGTTAGGTGGCCTGGCCATTAACCCCCAGGGATCTGCCTGACTCTGCTTCCCCAGAACTGGAATTATAAACACATGCCATTTTACCTGGATTTTTTATGTGGATTCTGAGAATAAAACTCAGGTCCCAGTGCTTACAAAGCAAGCACTTTACACTTACAAAATAAAATCTCTCTCCATCCCCTGGTAGAAATTACTTTAAAACAAGCTATTAGAATTAAAAAAGATAACCATTGAAATAAACATTTAACTACAAATATTTCATAGTAAATTTCAGCAAGCAGAAGAAATAATCAGAAAAGTTAATGATAGCTCATTAAATATTGTATAATTTAAAGAATGAAAACTGAAAGTAGCTGGGTGTGGTGGCACACACCTTTAATCCCAGCATTTGGGAAGCAGAGGCAGGTGGATCTTTTTTTTTTTGTATCTTTTTTTAATATTTTATTTATTATTTTTATTTTATGTGTAGGCGTGGATTGCCTGCATGTAGGTATGTGCATCCGTGTCATGCAATATCCGCAAGGACAGAAGAGGCCATTGGATCCCCTGTAACTGGAGTTACGGGATAGTTGTTAGCTGCCATGTGGGTGCTGGGATTCGAACCCGGGTCTTCTACAAGAACAACCAGTGTTCTTAACCACTGAGCAATCTCTCTAGCCCCAGCCCCAGCAGGTAGATCTTTATGATTTCAAAACCAACCTGGCCTACATTGTGAGTTCCAGGCTAGCTGGGGCTGCAGGGAGACCCTGTCTCAAAAAGACAAAAAAAAAAAAGAATAGCTAAAAATGGACAGACCACCAGAGCCCCATGGAACAGCACTGAGCAAATCAACAACATATGTGTAATATATGTTTCAGAAAGAAGAAAGGGGTAGTATGAGAGAGACATGGAATGGAGGGGACAGCAGGCAAGTGGGGATGGGGGGGCGTGACACTGGGAGAAATAATTGCTGAAAACATTTCCAAATTTTCTGAAACTATAGGAAATTGGTTCAGCATAATAGAGGCCATATTGACATTTCCATAGAGAGCTATGATCACATTCAGTGATGAAAACTGGAAAGGTATTCCTCCCAAAATCAAGAACAAAGCAAAGATACCTGTACTTGCAATTTCTATTCAA